ATGTTCATGAGGTTGAAAACAAACTTCAGCACAATGAAATGATGCTACCATGTGATAAGATTCTTCCAGCCATGCATTCTCCGTGTCATAGCAGAATTTATAAGGCAATAAACAAAGGCAAGGAGAAATCTTTATCAGACGGGGATGCAAATGTAGCGTTGTCGAGGGAGGACAATGACAGCCATTCAAGTGTTGAGAGCTGCAACAGTGCTGGCTTTTTTCCAACAGGTAAGAAGAGACGAAACTTCCAACAACAGCTGATAATAGGGAGTAAAAGAGTCAAAAGGCAAATGGAAGAAACTTCAGGTTCCAAATCCTATGTTAAACAGGATAGCTCATTCATGAATTGGATTTCAAACATGGTGAAAGGACTGTCTCAGTCAATTCAAAATGATTCAAACACTTTAGCTCTTTCTCTTGCAAACCCAAAACATCATAACCTGCAGCCTAACGAAAAACTTATGGCATGCAATATGAATCAAGATTCGGAGCAAAAAACTACAGGGTTCAAATCCATTTTTCAGTCTATATATTGTCCAAGCTTGAAGAATGTAGAAACAAGAATCCATCATCAAGAAGGAAAGAGTAGTGAGGATTTAGAGCCAGGTATAAATGCTACTCCAATAACCTGTTGTGCAGAGAATAATAGCCTTTCCAAACTTTGTTTGCAATCGAATAAGTTTGAAGTATCTATGGGAAGATATGAAGCCGGTCCGTCATCACAACCTCAGATTAAACCTCTAAATTTTTTCAACTGTCAGGAAAGCAGCAAAAGTAACCCAGTGGAGACTAAAAATAATTCCATCTTTGGCTTTAGTAGGGATAAAGAAGAAGTGGCACCACATTCATCTTCATCCAAACAGAATACAAATAATAATGACAACATTGATTCCAATGTGCTATCTGACAGAAAGGATGAAGAGAATACTTGTCACAGAAGAGAAAATCTGGCAAGTCTCTGGATAACTCGTCTTTCGCCAAAATTTGCTGCTCCCTTGAGAGAACAACCCACCAATGAGACAGAGGTCTCTACTGATCTTAAGGAAGAGAATGATCTTAAATCAAAGTACAAGTTCAAACCCCTTTCATCTTCTCCAGGACTCCGAAATTTAGAGCCAATGTCTTCAATGTTTGCAAGGAGATATGGTGCCATCAAACATATCATACCAGCAAACACAGAAGATAAGGCCAAGCAGGTTAATGTGTTGTGCTTGTTTTGTGGAACAAGGGGCCATCAACTCTCTGATTGCTCGGAAATTGCAGAGAACAAGCTGGCAGATCTCCAGAAGAATATAGATTCATATGGAGGATTAGAAGAATGTCCTTGTATGTGCATCATTTGTTTTGAGCCCAACCACTGGGCAGTTTCTTGTCCCACTTCAATCTCAGTTGGGAAACATGAACTGAAAGCTAATACCTCGGTTAATGATAGGGGAAAACATTTCATCCCAAACAATCAAGAGAGTGTCAGGCTTGGTGAGGATGACCGAGTTTTATCTGGTGGTTATGTTAGTGGTGAAACTGATCACCCAGCAGGTCAAGATATTTGTTTGAAGCGGAAATCAAATGAAATCATGACCTTTAAGGAAGTGAGCAATGCATCATTCAAGAAATACTGTGGTTCAAGTTCAGAGGAAAACAAATTCAGAGAAAATCCTACGTCAACTCCATCCAAATTCACTGAAAAGCACACTTCACACTTGCCAGAGAAAATATTTGATGCAGTGAAAAAGCTTAGACTGTCTCGCACTGAAATCCTGAAGTAAGTAATACCAGACAACACTTACACTTTATCATTTTACCTAATTACGTGAATGATGCAAACTAATTCTTCTTAATCCCAGTATTCATGGTTCAATCATTATGACATTGGTATAAGGTTAGATGTCAGGTATATAGAGTCCTTAGTTTGCACATCCATTTTATGAAAAAAAGTTTAATAGAGAACCTTTTTCATTCGTTGACAGTTTCATTTTCCCAGATCATTGTTTCTTGTGAAAAGGTTCATTTTTCAATGCACAATTTGATCCAGCAAACATTTAAGTATATTGAAGTAGGGTGCAGCTCCATGTGTTGAAACTGTCTTATCACTAGATCATCCTTAACTTGATTCCCATCCATTGTCATAGGGACTCCAGAAAAAGTTAATATACGCATAAAAGTAGGTGAACTGAGTTATAGACACCTTTACCTTTTTGTGTGAAAGATTGGATCTATAGAAACATTTTCACGATGTCCTAGAGGACCCCTTTGTGAAAAACTACAATGCAACGCTTCAAAATTCACAGTTAGTCTTACATCAGTTAAAATGTCGAGAATCCAGCTAAAGAAACATGTTAGTGTAATAGAAGAAAAGTTGGCCAACAAATAAATTGAGTTAAAGTGTCTATATTGCTAATCTTGCAGGTGAAGGATTAACTGAAAATTAAAAGGAGAAATGAAGCCTAAAGGGAGTGTATAAAATATCATTGGCGGAGACAGATTTATATTTGTGGATAGCTATAATATAGTATACTTTTGTCACTTATAAAACAAGTGGATCTTTGTGGTTACTAAACAGACTGTCATTGACATCAGATGGATAAATACTCATGGCTCAATCTCACAACTTGATGGTTTTTTCTTGCGCCTGCGGCTTGGGAAGTGGAAAGAAGGAATTGGGGAAACTGGATACCTTGTGGCATGCATAAATGGTATAAAGAAAATCACACCTTGTTCTTTGCTTGTAAAACAAGCATGACTTATGTTACATGACTTCTATTTTTTCTTTTCTGGGTACGAGATTGCTGTTTTCATTTGTTTTATTAACTTTTTCTTCTTTCTCGTTGTTGTTTATCCACAGAGACACAATCCAGGAGACAATCTTCAGAGCGGAATACACGAAAATCTTTCTCAGTGCAAGTGGGGAGTATCAAGTGTATGGTAGAAAGTCAGTATATATCCAATCAAGATTTTCTTGAGGTAATAATCAGTATTTATTAGCTTTTCCTCTTGCTTTCATTGTGAATGTATTGGTATTGAAGCTATTTGGTTCAGTGATTACAAAAGCAGCATCATGGAAATGGTTATCTAATTCCTATTTTGGAAATGGCGTTTTGTGTTTTTGAGCAGGAAGAAATCATGGAATGGTGGTTCAACACCTCAGAAGCTGGTGCTGAGATTCCATCTGAGGAAGATCTGATAGAAAAATTTAAAAAGAAAAATATGTTAGGTCTCTAGGCATTTATTACATTAAGTGTTAATATATTTGTTAACGTATGCGAGTTTATTCTCTCACTTTTTGTTATCCAATTGATTGTATATCAAAGTAAGCTTAAAATTGATAATGGTGGCAAATCATCATTATGATTTTGTGAATGTCATACCAACATTCATACACAGAGCATTGCTTCTTATTATGCAATGAAAGTTATATTGGATTTCATTATATTAGATGTTGTTAGGAAACGAAAAACCTTGGACTGTTCTTTATTTTGTGAGGAACTGTTTGTTAGCCTTTGGATTTCACAGTGAGGTTAATGCACTAACACTAGTGAATGATCCATCTGTATATAGTTTTGGAGACATTTCGTAGGTTGAGATAATTAAGGTGAGTTCTACTTTCCTTTTTTATTTAATTAGCTTAACCATTCTGTAATTATTTAATTATTTTATGTACAAGTGAAATATAATCGTGGCAGAGTAGCAGACTCTTTGAAACTGCTGTAGCATAAGCAATTGTTTTAACGGAAAACAAAAATTAAAACAGAAGTTATGGGAAACTAAAAAAGTAAGTAATAGAAGTATTTTCGTTAAAATAAGTGAATTTTATTCTTACATACTTGATCAAGGTATAAAGAGAGTATTGGTCATAGATTGATCAATGAATTTGAATGACACAATCAATCAAAGAAGTATTCAATAAGTTTGAGTTGAATCATCGCCTTAACTCTGTTTTGTTTTGACTAATTGGACTAATAAGCTAAAAACCCGATTAATGATACATATGAAATATTAATAATAATAATTATTATTATTATTTCTGATGAGATGAAATACTATATTTTTAAATGTGATTGTAATAAAATGTTATAACAACTAGTGAGGTTTGAAACAGCTATGAAACTAAGCAAGCCTTGCAGATATATCTGTAATGAATAAAGCCAAGTTTTGCAGTTAAACAGTTTGAAACCAAGCAAGTCTTGCAATATATTTGTAATGAATAATGGTATTCTTGTGTACTTACAATAATACTAAACTTTTTACACCAATACAAGCAATGAAATCATAGTCTCTAGAGATTGGGAAGATGTTTTACAGCCTAAGCAGAAGCTGATACCTATATTGGAACATATAAACTCTACTAAAGCTACATTAAAATATTCAATACAGAGTGGTACATTAAAATATTCAATAGAGTGGTAGATTAAAATATTCAATACAGAGTTGTGCTTGTACCTCTCCTTAGGGAAATCCTCAAACAAATAAAAAATGAATTACATCATCAACAGCATTTTCTCTTAAATGATTATAAATATAATAGTGTAATACTGTAAAGAATACCACTAAACTCTAGTTATAGACCAGCANTCTGATGTTTCAATATATGTAGCCAAATGATCGAGTTGAACCCTTGTGCTTCTACTTCAATTAAATTCAATTTCTAGTTCTGCATAAGATGGTGGTGGTGATGCCCTTGTTCTTTGTCCACACTTGAACCCCACGTGGTGCTCATAGGCTGTGTCACTTTATGATTCATAAGCCTGTACCTGGCAACGTCAGCTTTTGGTATGTTTGATGCTTTACAATATTTGTAGCACTAAATTACTTTTAACGTTATTTGTTAAGGGTGCACTGAAACATCGATTAGAGATAAGATTAATTTAAAATACATAAGTGAGTTAAACGTTATTTTATAAGTCGATTTCGTAGAGTTAAGCTAAACTTAAAATCTACTTCTTAATAGTGTTTCACAACTATAACTAGAGTTTATGCTAACGATATTTAATTTAGAGAATATAAGTGGATGGAAACCTTAATGATGTTTGCTAATATGATGCATCTTAGAAATCTGAATAATGATTAACCAACCATAATCCAGTAATGTTTGTAATCAGTTGCCTTGCCTCAACATCTTTAACCTGCTTTCAGAATTTTAACTTGAAGTGCTACGCTGAAGGTTACTTTAATTGCAATAATATTTCAGGATCTTTTTGTGAAGAGTTTAAGCTTCTGAAGATGAGTGCAGAAAACAAGAAAATAAAACCAAAGACTGATATTGAACTCTTTCTCAATAATGCTAACCGTTGCGTTTGGAAAAAATTAAATAATGACTCAGGTGCAGGTGCAAATGCAGCCTCCAGGGTGGACATGACATTTGCTGCGACTGACCCCCTATCTGAAATAGTTTGGTCACCAGAAAAAGGTTTGAGCCTTAGATGTGCAGATTCAAGTTTTGCTGATAAAAATACTTCACTTTTTCGGGATGTTGGAACGAGTTGTATGGTTCTTACTAGGCCACAAAAATTTACTGGTGGTAGTTCTACCACTGATAACCCTTTAGATGATGATTTTATGAAACCTTTAGCAGTTTTATGTGCCAAGGGTGATATTGCTGAAGCAGATGCTCCTACTATGCATGCCACAGGTGATTCAGGTGTCAAGGCCAAGTTTAAAGCCTATGAAGAAGATGATATAGGTAAGTAGTGTTTAAATGCAAGGAAAGGAGGCTTTACAGTAGATTTTTAGGTTCAAATAAACCTTACTGAGGGACAAAGAAATACATCTGCTATCCTGATTAGTTAAATACTTAACTGGGACTTGTGAGTGTTAGAATTAGTGTCTTTCTGGTCACTTTTTCCTGGAATCATTTTCTCAATCCTACAGAACTCATCTGCAGGATCTTTTGGTCATAAAGATATAGTGAACACCGCAGCAACAACACCTAATTTGCCGTATGATGAAAGTGGGAATCTGGTGAACAATTGTGAAAAGGCTGCTGGTGATCAACCCAACATTGGAACTAATAACATGTCTGGGATAGAGGGTAACAAATTTTCTGCTATGTCAGGTATGTGCTGTCATCAAGGTAGTTAAAGGAGAAGCTTGCCCTTAAGGAAGAGCTTAATGCTTCCAAAAGAGAGTCACCAAAACACACAAGACTTACCAAAGAAAGTTTAGACGTTAAAGCAGTTAAATACATGAATATTTACATTGATGTGAGGATAAGAATCCGGACATTTCAGAATATTTGTGCACATGTTTGTGGTATATTCTAATTTGTTTAGTTGTTGTTAATGGTTTTTAGCTGAATAATACAAAGTAATACATGGTAGCTTTGCAGCCTGTTTTTATAAATGCACAGGGACTGAAACTCAAAACATATCCTTTCTGTTTAAAGAAGATTTATTGGAAATTTTGTTTTTGTTAAAGAAAAGTTCAAATCTTCCCTTTTGTGAATACTCTGAAATGTATTATTTTATTTGTTGATTTTCCCACAGGCCAGGCTGAAAAAGGGCCATTGGACAATTTATTACTTCAATCAGACGAAATCAAACCAAACATGGACCAAAATCCTTCTTCAGGAAGACATTCTGATGGAGATGTAGATATTCATCTTGGAAAAAAGGCTGTAGTAACTGGTAATTTACATACTGCAGTTGAGCCTGTGGTGGATTTCAAAGGCTCTGATGCTCCAGGGACTAATTTAGCATCCTCCAGCAGGAGACCTTTAGAAAAAATGGAATTTAGTGCAGAGAATGATCTACGGACTGACAACTTTGAAGCTGCTTGTGCTGGAACAAGTGGAGTTAATGTTCATGAGGTTGAAAACAAACTTCAGGANTGAAATACTATATTTTTAAATGTGATTGTAATAAAATGTTATAACAACTAGTGAGGTTTGAAACAGCTATGAAACTAAGCAAGCCTTGCAGATATATCTGTAATGAATAAAGCCAAGTTTTGCAGTTAAACAGTTTGAAACCAAGCAAGTCTTGCAATATATTTGTAATGAATAATGGTATTCTTGTGTACTTACAATAATACTAAACTTTTTACACCAATACAAGCAATGAAATCATAGTCTCTAGAGATTGGGAAGATGTTTTACAGCCTAAGCAGAAGCTGATACCTATATTGGAACATATAAACTCTACTAAAGCTACATTAAAATATTCAATACAGAGTGGTACATTAAAATATTCAATAGAGTGGTAGATTAAAATATTCAATACAGAGTTGTGCTTGTACCTCTCCTTAGGGAAATCCTCAAACAAATAAAAAATGAATTACATCATCAACAGCATTTTCTCTTAAATGATTATAAATATAATAGTGTAATACTGTAAAGAATACCACTAAACTCTAGTTATAGACCAGCAGTGACTACTCTCATGCTCTCATAAACATGAATCACCAGATTCGGATTTTTCAGAACGAATTTGACATAAAAGAATAATACATGACTATAACTGATGCTCAATAAATAACAAGGTTAAGCTGATTGATTCTAATTGGCAGATTCTTTCTTAACTTGAGTGCGGTAATCTTCCATTTCATTGACCCATAGATCAGCAAATTCACAGTTTTTCCAAGCTTCAAACCATGGCCCTCCACGAGTATAATGAATGGCCTTGGGCAAAGTAAGAGGATCGTTTTCAACAACCTTGTTATGTCCCTCAAGAAAATTCCAAACAAAAGGAATGGATCCAATTTCATCATCCTCTAGCCATTGAAACCTGTGAAGAAAAGCACCAGTCTGTGTGTTGACAGTCTCGGGAGTTAGAACACGGTTCTTTGGATGACCACAGTTATAAAGAACCATTGAAGACCAATTCTTTCTTGGGTACACAGTTTGCACTGCCCCATCCATCTTAGTAGTCTCCTTTGGAGCATAGTCATGCTGAACACACATGATAGCATACTTGTCCTCAATCAAGTCTCTCAGTTCCTTGATATCAGCCAAGTAGAGAAAATCACAATCCACAAACATAGCCCAACCTTGATAATTGGCAAGGCAAGGTGTCAAGAACCTGGAAAAGGAAAACTCGGTACTCTCAAACTGACCCCTCTCACGCCAATACAAACCACTCTTTCTCAGATCTGACTGCTTAATCGGTATGATCTCAACGGGAATTGAAGACCTTTTCAAGATGGAGTGCCGACATACCTCAAAGGCAAGATCTTCACTCGGGTCATACCCAACGAAGATCTTGAACAACTTACTCTCATCGTTCACAATCTCACCGTCTAACCCATTACTTCCGAATACCGGTGCTTCATTTTTACCATTGCTCAAACTCATTTCTCAATGTGCCTGTCACACGGTGATAAACAAAAAAGAAAAGAAAAAATAAAAACCAAAATACCCATTTGACTATAGACATGAACAACAAAAAAACAAGAACAAAAATCCAATCTTTTTCATCCCCAATATCACCCAAATGCTGTAATGTAGCATGATGCCAAGTTAAGAAAAATGTATACAATGCATGTGAAGAAGACAAATGCAGAATGAAGAAAAGTACCGAATTGAGATAGCAGCAGTGTAGGATGGACTTGAACGGAGAAAAATTTAGTCAGAAATGGAGGAAAATAGAGCGAGATTTGAGCGGTGAAGCACAGTCACCGACAGTGGTGGAGTAATATATATATATCGATATCACTCTGAAGGAGATTAGATTAGATCACGCGCTTTCTTTAACCAACTGGCACAACCCACAGTTTTACTCTTCTCCACCCATTTCTTCTAGGTCGCTTTTTTTTTTAAATCAAATAATAAAAAATAAAAAGGATAATATCAAATGTAAAAAATTTATAGATATTAAATATTTTTTTCTATATAATACGATGGATTTCAGACTTTTATCAAAGTAGATTCTGTCCTATTACAAGGAATTTATCTCATGTTTATTTTAAGTAAATTTAAATAACAAAGTAAAAAGAATTATGTTTTGAGATGAAAATGTCACATTGCTAGCAATGGTGAATTGAGTAAATATTTAGGACCAATTTTTTTAATAACGTTTCCAATTTTAAAAGTGATTAAATAAATTATTATTATGTAAAATAAATTTCAGTGAATATATACTTTTATAAGACATGTGAGTTACTTTTTAATGTCTGTTCCATATTCCTAAATTTCTGCATTGGGGACAGTATGGGTATTTGTGAAATATGATGGTGTAGGAAGAAATTTGTGGTGGTGTAAGGAGAAACACTCTTTCAACAGTGAAAATTTGGAAGAATAATCCTCTCAGATTTGGGCTTCAAGCTCACTTGTTCAGAGGGTTATTTTGAAAATTTGGAGGTGTGTGAAGAAATTGCATAGGTGCACAAAGTAAAAGCCTAAGGCAATCTCAACCTGTAATTTCAACTTCAATATCTTTATATTAGGTAGGCAATGACGTAGATATGTTGAACTTAGAGTTATGCATTCATTGTATAGCATATGGTCAACGTGTGCTTTGTCATTACTAAAATTATACAGATATATTTTTATATTCATTATATATAAGATAAGAGTAAAATGGTTATTAAAAACATAAATGTTTGTATTTTTTTAAGAAAATAAAATAAAATAATATTAAGTAAATATAAAAGATTTATGTGTTAAATAATTATTTTTCAAAACTATAATACGAACGTAGTAAACTTTTTAAAAGAGATTTAAAAATTCAACTGCAAAAGTAATTAATGGTGGCAAATTAAAGCATATGGACCCTATTAATATATCTTAATCAACTAAGTTGCCCTAATCTAAGAGCTGTTAACACTACCAAAGTTATATTGTCGTATACGTAGTTGTGAAATTAATCTTTAAGCATAAACATCACCCAACATTTCTTCTATTCAATTCTCAGAATATCATAATAATACGCAAAACATGTTGTCTTTCACTCTCTCTCTCTCTTTTTCTCTTTTTTTTTTTAATTGAAAGATTACATATCAATTAAAAATAAAACGAATATAAATTAGTGTAAATTACTTTTTTTAAGTTGATTTGTTTTGTGTGGCATTATTTGTTGTGAATTTCAAATATAAATTTTAATTCTACATTAAATAAATAAGAAAGTTTATCGATATATAAGGTAAAAACCTCACAAAGTTATTACTTAAAAATTGTATGGTTATGTTAAAGATGTTGTTAATATCTTATCTAAATTAAGATTGGAGTGTTGTTCCCTCCACCAGTACTCTACATCTCTCCACTATTTTTTTTATTTCAAAAATACCTTACACCTTCCTATTATTTTCTTTTGTTCCAAAAATACCCTACATCTTCCCCACTATCTTATGGCAACTCCATAGAACCACACTTCTGATCTACAGGGTGGAAAACAAAGTCAATATTTGAGCTTTGGAGAAAGAGAAAAGGAAAACCCTANTACTCAGAATAGTAGCAAAGCTCCAACAGTGCCTTACACAGCCAGCATACAGTAAGACCCTACAATCCACTAACAGTGGAGACAGAAACAACTCTTAGAGCTATAATAGGCAAAGAATTAAAAGAGGAAGACTACCAGCTGCATGCAACCAGTAAAGTTGCATGCCCTAGGTTCAAGAGAGATGGAGAAACTAACTTAACCGTCCAAAGCAGAAACTAATTGGATGGATGGGAAGCTTTCAACTCCGTGAACGAAAGAACATCACCTTTTTGACAATGCAACGGTTGAAATTTGTGAATGGATAGAGATAAGGCATAGCAAGAAGGAGAGGACAGAGTTTAGAGAGAGAAGGAGAAGTTGGATAATGAACTCAGATTGGGAGAAGCCCCTTCTAAGATCACGGTGTCCTTAGTTTTACGGACCTGGCTACCCCAACATAAGACCCAAAAGTCCTATACTTTTCAGGCTCTTACATGAACAATATATATATTAATATCCCAGTAATTTTTCAATATTTTTGTCTGTGAAAATTTTTCATTTTTATTTGTCATTTTCCATAGAATTTATATTAAATGCATTCAGTGTTATGATAACAATAGGAATGTTTAAAAGTCTAATAAGTCATTAAAACATCACATATAAGAGCCAAAATAAAAAAAAATTACAATAAAAACTTCGTTTTCATTCATTAAACAATCATGTATAATAATATCAGAAACCTAAAAACTGTGTTAAAAAATAACAATATCATAAAATAGTTACTTTCACATAAATTTGAATTTGGGAAAAAGATTTTTGTTGATATCACTTTTGATTTGACAAAAGTTTGAGTAAAATAAAATACTCTTTTGCGTATTTGAATGGAAAGTTTTACGAGAGTGATATTTATACATACGCACAAAATTTTGTTTTATTATATATATATAACTTAAAATTAAAATATTTCTTCTTCAATTATTTTATATTTTTTAAAAATTGTACTGTGGTTAAATTTGTTGATATATAATTTGATAATTAAACAATCACTCGTTCTTATCTTCAATATCTATTCGTCGATTTTGTTATCTTTTCTAAGTCAACGGCATCAAGAATATGAATATGTTGTACTATGTTTGTGTTTTTTTATCTAGATATTCTAATTCCCCAATACATGTTACCCTAATATTTAATTTCGAAATTATATTTTCATAAAATTATATTACTTTTCCCTAAGTTATATTAAATAATGTTCACTTTTTTGTTTTTGTAATTTTAAAATAAAAACACGTGTGCCTTTCTGTAAAATGACACTTACCTTAATGAATAAACAAAATTTATTTTTCTCATGATACATTTTACTTAAAACAGCACATGTACTGATATTTAAATAAAAATAAGTAAATTAAAATTTAAAAATTTTAAATTTTAAAATTCTAGAAAAAATATGATTCCCAAAAAAAATTGAAAAAGGAAATGTGACAATATTAAAAAACATAGTCATTGCATACATATATAGATATAAATTATATCCTAAAATAAATATTTTGTAATTTGCCTAAGCATTGCATATGAAATAGAAGTACGTAAACAAAGAAAAAGGAATCGTATTCTCCAAGTATAAAGTTGTGAAATAGAAGAAAAGAAAGAGAAAAAGTGTGTTATCTTGTATTATTTTTCATTTTTATAATCTCACACCACTCATTTAATCGAGTCATTAATTAATTTTGTTATACTTAATTAAATTAGATTAGACAAAGAAGTCACGACTTTCAAATCTCAATGAAATTTAACTCAGTATAAAANAGGATTACCCCCGAGACGGAGCTCCTACTCTCATTCTAAACACTAAGAATCTCACCAAGAGATTCTACACAAATGGAACTTGGTTTACAACTTGGATCGTCTTTCCACCACTTTATAACCATACACTTTTTCTTACAATCCACATACTTGTTTGAATATCACAATACAATACTATAGATGCAAAAGAATGCTTCCCCAACAACCAAAGAACACACTAACCAAACACAGCACAAGAGAAGATTTAGAGAACCAGACCCAGTACTCGTCGCACAACGCACCACCCTCGCAAGACGAAACTAGCGATATTCGCATAGTGCATCCTCCCAACTAGCCTTGCGAATTAAGTCTGAATAAGTGTCAGACTTTGGGTTCCTCGCATAGCACACCCAGGTCGCTATGCGAGAACCCAGACAGAGACCAACCCCCCTAAAATTCTCGCCATGTGCCCCACTCGCCTTTCGAATTAAATGGGCAGTGGTCCCAGACCACCACCAGTCGCATAGTGACAGGATTCGCCAGGCAAATCCACAAACAAAGATCAATACCCTCTACTCATTCGCAAAGTACACCAGCTCGCACAACGAATGACTCAGACAGTGAGTACTCTCTACAGGGTCTAGCTATGTGAGACAACTCGCCTAGCGACTCTACATAGTCTGCAGAACGCCCAATTCTACAGATTATGCCCCCTTGCACCCTCTAGACCAATTATAGTCCTCTTCCCCATTTTATAAGTCCTCTAGATCGTGATTATGTCCCAGTTAAGCTTGTCTATGTGATTCCTAACATTTCTCTAATGATTTTCAAGTGATCAAAATGCACTTCACTCTCTAGAACATTTAAATCAACAACCTAATGACCTAAGATCCATTCTACTATTTTTAACATGTTTTAGTCCTTCTTTGTGTACTTAATAAATTGCATTTAACCCATCTAAGTCGCCCAAACTGTCTTATTATGCTCTAGACCCCAAATGCCCAATTTCAGTACCTCACTTCCCTCGAACTAACCTAGACCTTCTGCCTAACTATTGAACCTATTTACCAAATTAACACTAAGCAGAAATATCACCCTATTCCCTCCCTACATGTTCTATTTACAGCCCCTTTCATTCATCCAAAAGGATTCCCAAACAAACCATTACAGTCTCATCAACCACACATCTCAGTTCATAACATACAACATGCTTAAAATATAAAATACAACCCAGCAACACATCAGTGCAGGAGTCAACATGCATTCATTTACAAAGCAGATTCAATAAGTAATTTCAAGAAAACAATTAGCTCACCTTACCTTGGTGGTTATAAGCACAGTACTACTCAGAATAGTAGCAAAGCTCCAACAGTGCCTTACACAGCCAGCATACAGTAAGACCCTACAATCCACTAACAGTGGAGACAGAAACAACTCTTAGAGCTATAATAGGCAAAGAATTAAAAGAGGAAGACTACCAGCTGCATGCAACCAGTAAAGTTGCATGCCCTAGGTTCAAGAGAGATGGAGAAACTAACTTAACCGTCCAAAGCAGAAACTAATAGG